CATTCCTTTCGCGCCTCCTAGTGATCTGTTAGTGAACTAAAGGTTTCTAACCTGTACAAAACTTTGATTTATTGAACCAGCATAGAGTAGTTGAGTCGTTCTTCAATTGTGATGATGCAATGAATGTTTAATTTAAATACATTCTCATCTGCAAGTGAAGGTGATCTTCAGAAAATGGTACAGCTAAAATTGAAAGTGTATATAACATTTCCGACAAAATGAATGACTTCACTTATGAACCCGATGAACAGATAACTGACAAAAACGTACTAGAAACTTTTAGAATTATTTGAAATTAGCAAACAAATGAGATTTAACGAGGCTGGTTGAAGTGTTTATACATTCGTCTGGAGTTTGGGATTACAAACCACTATTTTTTTTTGGAATCACAGAATCTTCATGTCGCTTTTAAGAGACATTCAACGTCGTCATAGTTGAAGATGGTTTCAGTTTTTGAAATTTTGCAGTGGCTCCCTACAATTATCATTGTAGACTTTGAAAATTCTAACCCGAGCCGGAAATTACGAGTTCTTTAGCTGTTACCAAACGGTATAATTTACTGCAGCTTCTATAGTAACCAAACAATTTATTACCTCTTTTCTCCTTGTAATGCACACTCCCCTATTGGAAAATAATGAAACGGCCTGTCTGTTTGTTACCATGGTTACATTTTATAATTGCGGAGGCTTTATTACCAATTTAGAAAGGAACGTTTATTGTTGCCCAACAGAGTTTTAGTGGCAATGTTTCTAATCATTTGTCTTTTCACTACTTATGTAATCTCTTCTTTTAGGTCCTCTGGGCCACGGGAAGAGGGATATGTAATCTCTTCTTTTAGGTCCTCTGGGCCACGGGAAGAGGGATATGTAATCTTTTCTTTTAGGTCCTCTGGGCCACGGGAAGAGGGGTGGTCAGATTACACTGTTCGATTATAGAAGTCAAAGTGTTGTCTGTCACTTCAATTAAGCGCAGCTAACAATGATAATGAGAGATTCAAAGTAAGCCATATATCGTGACAAGTTTTTTGTGTCTGAATTTGTTCTGTATCACTTCGACTTTCTTCTGATGAAAATTTGGAAATAATTCATTATAACTGTACCTTGTAGGCACAGTGCAGATAACGGAGTAATTGTGCTTGAAATGGGCATCCAGAAGAGGAACAGTTTCTTTTGGAAGTTAATTTTTCGGTTACATTATATCAACTTCCTCTAGAAGAGGAACAGTTTCTTTTGGAAGTTAATTTTTCCGTTACATTATATCAACTTCCTCCAGAAGAGGAACAGTTTCTTTTGGAAGTTAATTTTTCGGTTACATTATATCAACTTCCTCTAGAAGAGGAACAGTTTCTTTTGGAAGTTAATTTTTCCGTTACATTATATCAACTTCCTCTAGAAGAGGAACAGTTTCTTTTGGAAGTTAATTTTTCCGTTACATTATATCAACTTCCTCCAGAAGAGGAACAGTTTCTTTTGGAAGTTAATTTTTAGGTTACATTATATCAACTTCCTCCGCTACATCAATGTAGGCTTGTGGCACAAAACCAAGGTCTAGTTTAACGATTGCCAGCCACGTATGTAATCGTTGTCAATATGCTCGATAATTATGGGATTTATAATTTCATGGCTTCTCCAGTGATGTTAGGAAAACTTGTGACATCTAGAGGCGATAAAAATGCGGAATTTTACGTGAAACACAGATCTAATAAACAACTGGAAAACAGGTTTACTCTTAAAGAGATTTCTGTCAGAAAGTTTATTTAGCATGACGTCAAACAAAAAATAGTTAGTCTTCAAACTTGTTTCTTTCCGTCGGATTTACTTAAAAGGTTTACATTTCTGCAGCCTTAATGGTATTCCGCTAGGGGGACCAAGAGCATTAGAGAGACAATAAGCTTTATACTGTTTAGCCAATAAATTATTTAAGTTCTTCTCCTTTATGACAGAGACGATTACGTTTGCGGCTCAGGAACCTTATGAAAGTCCCTCCACGGTAAGCATATTTCTGGTCACTTCGTTTTTTTTGTTGTTGTTCCATCTACCAAACAACTAAAAGCTTTCTTCATGTTTCAATCAGGCTAAATCTTTTTGATTCTTCAACCAAAATTGAGGATTATTTTCTGCACTTTATCCAGAAAATAAACATGTTACGTGGCCAGTCAATATATCTAATGTTGTCTGGTACTTCTTTACTGATCGGAAGAAGGTTCTTTTTTTTTTATACACGACTCAAAGCATTTTGACAGCTACTTTTTTTAGACAGCAAAAAGTATTTTTCAATCTCCAGTGTATGACTGAAAGCATTTTTTATTCCGTAATAGTTTTAAAAAGTTTTTTTTTGCACAATGAATGAAGACATTTTTTTTTAAATTTCAGTTATTTAAAATATGTTTCTTCTTTCTACACTGGCTGAAATTATGTTTTTCTTTTCCAGTAAGTGAAAACATATTTCTTTTTTTTTTCACAAATTACTGAAAGCATTTTTATTAATTTTACAGATATTGAAAAAAAAACATTTTTATTTTTTAATAACTAAAACTAAATGTCCGAGGCATTTTTGTAATGACTAAAGACTTTGTTCAATTTCGCTCAAAGCTACTCGAGGGCTATCTGCGCTAGACGTCCCTAATTTAGAAGTGATAAAATATGGGAAAGGAAGTTAGTCAATATCACCCGCCACCAACTTTTGGGTTACTTTAACCGAATAGTGGGATGGATTATCACATTATAACGCCCTCACGCCTGAAAGGCCGAGCATGTTTTGTGGTTGGATTCGAACCCGCGACCTGTATATTGGGAGTCGAGTGCCCTAATCACCAGCCCATTGCCAGGGCCCTAACTACCTGGCCATATTAGGCCTTAAAGACTGAAAACGTCTTTTTTATTCAATAACAAAAAGCATTTTTTACGCCAATGACTAGTTTGTTTTCTATGGTGATCGACAGCAACTGAAAGATTCTATGTTCATTCCTATCTTGAAGCTCACGTTTCTTTTGCTCACCAGGTGGAGTTTATATAGATTCTGTTGATTACTCTGGACAAACTATGTACATTACCGTAGGAATCAATTTTGGAGTGGTCGGACCACTGCCACAGCTAAACAATGTGTGAAAAGCACACTACTAGCATGCCATTTTTAGGGGAGGGGGTCAGAAAGTTTTTGAAAATTTAATACTATGAGATTGAATCTTGAGCCATTTTAACTACAAATACTGTATATACACACAACGTAATGTATCGAATTAAAAGAAGTAAGTTTTAATACATAAGATGTAGCTATACATGTCATGAAAGGTGGTTAACGTTTAACAGTTTCTGTGGTGTACATAGATTGAGGGTTTTCTAGTAAGTTGGTTTGTTTAACAGATACAGAATTTACTGCTGTTAATCGAATTCAAAATTCTTTTATCGCTCTTAAATCGCTAGCTCTTCCTTTATACTTGTTAGGCAAATAACCGAAGAGTGGCGTATCGTAACGACTACATTATTAGGGTTAAGTACTTGCACGGTCTGTGTTACTAACATAATACAGGACAGTTTGTTTACAATTTTCACAGAGTACAGGATTTCTGGTTCTCGGTCAATATATGTTCAGTTATAAAATGTTTTGTTTTTCTTCAACTTCTACAAAAGGTCTGTTATCTTTTAGATATTTCGTACAAATCGTTCAGTTGGTGTTGGTTATTCGGTTTTTGTTTCAATATAAGACTTCAGGTTTTGGTTTTCTTACACGTTTTGTTTTGATCGTTCAAAAGAAAAAATATTTTCACTTTTTTTTTTACGAAACAACTAGTTATAACTTGTTTTTTTTAACTCTAAGTTCAATAAAATCTTAATTAATGCTGTAAGTAAGGATGTTGTTTAAGCCTTCTAATTAGGCTTAACAATATTTCAGAAATCACATGCTTTTAGATTCCTAAAATTACATTAATAAAGAAATAACAGACACTTAAACAAATGTAATATTACAGTGGAAAATATTATACATTCTGTACACACTAGACTGTTTATAGACCCTTTTATTTGGAAGGAGGGGAGGGGGGGGGCGGTTATTAAAAATGCCAGAGGAAAATAATTTATGACCATCAGCACTGTTGTATACAAGAGATCAACAATATGATTGGTTACTGAAAGAACCCGAAAGTTGTTTATCCACCAATAGAAATTATGTAGTAATCATATTATGAAATATCATGACCCTAGTATTTATTTCTTCAGCAACACTAACCATCTTCATGGTAGCCATGGAAACGGCGTCCTATCGTCATGCCCAGTTGTGATGACCTAACGTTTTTAAACCATCGAGACAAACGTATTTTATATGTTACAATAAATAAACTCACCCGAACGTAGGTCCTCTCAGTTTCGATAAGTTCCATGATAACTTTTCGAAGTTTTTCAGCATCGGGCATTTGTCGACTGTGGCCAAACGGGAGGTTCGAGGAACTGCTACTGCCGGTGCTGCCCTCTAGGCTCGAGCGTCGCCTTTCCAGCGGTGTTCGGCAGTACTCCGTCACGTGTTCTGCAGTCTGGGACGACAGTGTGGGCTACAGTTATTCAGCGAGAAAGTATGTCAATTTGGGGCGCCGGTGCCACTAGGCCTTAATATTATATTATTTTCGTTTGGTAAAAATACAACAACTGAATTTTCCAGTTGTGAAAAGAACATTATATATATACATACATACATTTCATGAAATTCTTCCACTAAAACATAAAACCAAAAGGAGAGGCCTATGAAGGAAGCAAGAAATACAAGACATAATTACTAACACGGCTAAATGTTATAGTTTTACTTTAGGCCTATCAGAAAACTTGCACAGTTACTGCTTTTTTTTATGCATTTTAATTTTTAATAGTTTTCTTGTGAAGTTTCGACTGTCGTACATCATCTGGGCAACAATAGTTTTAAAGAACATTCCATCTTTAGGCCTTCAAGTAATTACGTTCAGTTTTAACTTAACCGATCTTTTCTTTCTCTCCTACGGTTTTTATTTTTGCAGCTTCAAAATTTCAATTAAAAATTTCCAATAAAGTGGCACCCTCACCCCTTTATGGCAGCTTTCACACAAAGAAAGTACGTTTTGATTAATCACTGGTCAACTTTAGCTGTTTCACAAATGTCTCACGCCACCTAGTGGCAGCAATAAGAACTAATATCACACATGCCACTAGTTGCTCTATTGATTTGATACGAGTAAACACAGTAAAAAAAACTCCTATTTAACAGCACTTATCGACTTGTTAGTGTCTAAAGTATTGTTTGCTTAAGAGGTTATGATTAAAAGATAGATATTGAATGTAAGAATATTTAGTACTGATTACTGAGGAAGCAACATTACCACTAAGCTGTGTGGAAATTGTCCATTTTCACAAGAAACAGTTTTACAGTTTTTCTACTTTTAGATTGCTAAAACTTTTCTTTAAAAGTATTAGTGTGCTATTCACCTTTTTACAGGAGTCTTCGATCACCTTCAGGAGGCTCTCTATTTGTTCAGTGGATAAGGAGGCGTTCTCTTGGTTTGGCACAGGAGAAGGAGTGGGTCGACCTGAAGTTTCGGGAGATCGTTCCTGAGATCCTAGAGATGAGAAACGACTCCCATTACTTTTAGAAGATAAATAAACAGATTTAAAACCGCGTTAATAATAATAGAGGTTTGAAACAGAGATCCATGTTTTTTCTAAGTCAAATTTGGTTTAACAAGTTAAGACAGACCAGTAAGAAGTTTAATTTTTATTTTAAGTTTTTTAAGTAGGAGTTCACACCGATCATTTAATCTGAATATTCGTCAAGATATGACTGATTAAAAGGTAATTTCAAAAGAATTTTAGAACCCGTCATGTTAGTAAGAAACTGCAGCTTCAGTATCGATTTATTACAAAAAATGCTAAGCCTAACCTAAATAATGACCTACTTCATATTTCTTTATAATTAGTTTAATCAAACCTTACTGATTATAATGCGTTTAAAATTAATTTGAATCTTTTTTTTTTAATTGATTATCTTTATACTTATGAAGATTATTTTCCATTGCTTTCAAGACCAACTTGGATCTTCTAAGCTGGCCGAACTTCATTAGTTACTATTGGGATTACGTCCGAAAATATTGATACTAGAGATGGTACACATTCTAATAATTTCTTTATTATTCATCATTTATTATACTTCTGGAGAATAATTCTTATTTATCTCCAATATTTAGAAAAAAAAAACAACGACTAAAAATGCGCTTAGTGAATAAATAATGAAATATCAGCTGGAACTAAACATCTTTGATAATTTGAAACTAGCGATTTAAAGCCTGGATCTCGACACATATCTAGGGACACTAGGACTAATGTTGTTGTTTTTTTTCTATTCCACTG